GCAAGCTTGCTTAGCACTATAAGCAGCCGCGTTAGCGAAACGATAGCCAAACTTGATCTGTACAATATCGCAGCTGTTTCAACTCGACCCGCCCTCTTCCATTTCTAGAAGTGCTTCAGGATGCCGGCTGTAGATCTTGGACAGGAGAAGAATGCGTGTTACGAGATGAACACGTGACAGACTGTTTCTGCAAGGAAGACCTCTGCAACGACGAAGGAAACAAAAATGTCGAGGAAGGAAAACTAGAATGCTACCGTTGCGACGACGAGGACCAGTGCGGACGGAACATCACACTATGGGCCACTGAACGATGCGACGGTGACCTTCAGACCAACGGATGGCATTGTGCAAGTCTGTGGAAGGATGGTGAGGACCTTCCCGTTCTTTGCTTGCGCATAGAAAGTTTACAGTAATGCGCAATGGCTCGAAGCCCCTAAAATTCTGCCACAAATGAACGTATTCGAAGATTCTTATTTCAGAGATTTGACGGTTTAGCCAATGGAGAAATGATGATAGCTTCCAAATTCATCAACATTTCTTATTAAATTTAAAGGTTGTATTTTACATGATCTCTTTGAATCAAACTTTTTTTAAATCCTATGCTGGGGATCCCATACGGAATAAAGCGACAAAAATACCCTTATTGTTAAGGATAAGACTCAATATTTCCGTGTGGATGAAAGTCTTTCATGGGTACTAATATTATGACAGGCTAGCGTGGAATCTCCGGATTTCGCCAAAAAAACGCACAACCAAGGAATTGAGCGGCGAAAACTTGATGAAATTCGGTACACAAGCCAGTACTACCATACCAAAATTCATTCGAGTTTCAAGTGCGTGGGATATATGGAAAAAAACTGGCCAAAAAACTTTCCTGGCGCCGACCGTGACTAGAGGTAGTCGTACATGAGAAGAATGGGACAAGTCATGTCTTCACAGAATTCCACATTCCTTCTTCACGTGGGGCTCTCCCAATTTCTTGTCAAAACTTCAGAGATATGTCAATGATGAAGAGAGCTTCTAGCCAAAGTAAAACATATTATAAACTAGCGAGTTTGTTTGCCCTTTGGGCAAACAAACTCGCAAACTCGCCTTCGGCGCTCCATTACCTTGGATAGTGATTAATTCATTTATTCTTTGCGAAATGGCAAACTCGTATTTAAAGAACGTCCCTATATGTGGCATACGAGGACGAAAGTCTTGATTTTTATCAAAATCATTACTTCTATTATTTCTAGTGTACCTAACTTGAAATCTTTTCATGTGTCCCTCTTTGTAAGGGTGGAGAATACATTTTCTCGTGCTTACCTTTTAATCTACGCTAAGGGGACATATTTCAAAAGTAGGATTTTTCCTGTACTCAGCCATCATACAGGTACTTCTGAGACTCAGGGAACTCCATGCCACCCAGTTTCAGCCTCATACGTTTATTCTTTTTGCTGGCGGAAAAAAAAAGTATTTGGAAAAGCGACCCACTCAAAACCTGTGCTCTGAGGAGACGCACAACAAAAGTTGAAATTTTCCTTAAATCGACATCACGTCCGTTATGTGTGCGCCAGCTGCTATTTTTCTATTTCTGCCCGATTCGCTAGGATATAAAAAATTATTTGAAAACGTAACGTCCCCAAGAAATATTTTGGAAATTTGACATTTTCCTGAGCTCAGTGCGTCAGCAGTCACGTTCTTGCCAAGTTTCAGCTTTCCATGTGTCTTCGTTTGGTTGAAGCAAAGAGAACTCTTTGATAGTATGTTCCCCGAAAAGGTGTGCCCTCATGGGTATCACCAAAGTAGAAATTTTCCTGAACTCAGCATGCGAATAGCAACTTACGTCAGTCAGCTACTCACGATCTTCTATATATAAAAAAGTCGACTTTTTTCTTTACTCAGCTATCCATCAGGTAATTCTTTGCCAAGTTTATACTTTCTAGCGCCCTCTGTTTTGCTGGATCAGAAAATTCGGGAAAATACGCCTTTCGCAAAATATGTGCCCTGAGGCGTTTTAACTGAAAAGTACCTTTTTCTTTTACAGAAATCAATCCTCAGAGTACTACATGCCCACAAAGTTTCAACCTTATACGTTGGCCCATTTCACTGGTGAAAAAACATGTTTGGAAAAGCCGACCCACCCAAAAGCTATACCCGGAGGGGATGCACCATGAAAGCTGAATACTCCCTCAACTCAATATCATGTCACTTATACGTGTGCCAAGTTTCATCTTTCCATTTCTGTCCAATTCGCCACAACAAAATTTCTTTTTACATAGCCCCTCGAAAAAATTCCCCCAGGGGATGTATTTTTAACTGAGCATTTTTCTTAAACTTCACGTCTTAAACTCCAGTCACATTCATGCAAAGTTTCAGCTTTCCATGTTCATCAGTTTAATTGATACCAAAAAATTATTTGAAAACATCTCCTTTTGAAATTTGTGCCCCAAGGGCATGGATCTAAAATTTTACATATTTCCTGAACTCATCGTCTCGGAAGGGCACGTCCATATCAGGTTTCAGCTTTCCATGTTTTACTCATGCAAAAATGTTGTTACGGAGGGGGAATGAGTAACTGGATTAAGTCAAGAGAAGCCGAAAGTAAGCCAAGCAAAACCCGGGTTTTGAACCTGGGCCTCCAAATTGCAGGTTAAGTGTGCTACCACTACACCACCGAACACGAGACACCCAGTTAAGCCTCTCGATGCCATCCTCATCCGTAACAATATATATTTAAAAACTTCTCCCCCCAAAATGTGTACCCCCAGGGCATGTGCCTCCAAAATCGGATTTTTTTCTGAACTTTGCATCCCAATAGGTACTTGAGTACCAAGATTCAGATTTCTAACATTTCTAGAATATGGTTAGAATTAGCGACAGTCATTTAGTCAGTCACGATCGTCTATATATATTAGATGGCGACAGGGTTCAGGGGTGGGCAAAAACGTACAATCTTATAAACGTGTAGTTCAATCCTTAATCAAACTTCACCTTCAAAGGAGGTGCAGGTTTTCTTCAAAGCCACTCACCAATGCAAGGATTTCCATGGAATCATGGACCTTAGTGACGTACATGTTCATGATATGAATGGGAAACTTCTATTAGATTCCAGTTTCTTATAGAATTCATTACAACAGGAAACTGCTCGATACTAGATGAAGTTTTAACTACCATTGCCGCTGGATTCCTTTAAGTGCTGCTGGCTCCTTTTTTAAAATCAGTTGTGTTTCGTGGGTTAAATAGCCGAAATCATAACCCATAACAGAAACCCTTTTCAATTAGTAGCTCACGATTAAACTTATTATGTCAAGGGATTTACCTTGTGACAGCAAATACCAAGTTTGATTTTCATAGGCGCATGTAAAGCGGGGGCATAAAGTGAAAGAATCATGGTGCCAGGCCTTTCATGACGCCTGGATGTTCCATGTATGAATTTCAGACCAACGATTACTACTATATAACCATTTTTGACCCTGAGGAATTCCCTCTGGCGGAGAAAAATAAGCATTTTCGTAGTAAAAGCAGTCTCTATCTGCATGTTTCCAAAAGAAACGCATTGAAGCTTGCACGCTTGACTCAGCTCATTTTTATGTTTCTTGCCGCCAGATATCTCCAACTAAATGTCCCCAGCAAATAGGGCTGTTCTTGTCTAAATGCGATGCAGTGCCAAAATTAGATCTCTGCAGGCGATTTCAGCAGGTTTATAGGGTGCTTGATTCACGTAGGCTAATTGGTGTGCATGCATCAGCTTTAGGCATCAGAATGATGCATAAAGGTGATACAGGGGAAGCATCACAATTATATTCCATGGATCAAACACCCTAATAGCTTGTAGCGCAGTTTAAGTACTAGCAACAGATGAATATCGAGATTAGATGGAATTTGACACACAGGGTGATCCAAAAAGGGTGTACTCAAAATTAATTTACTGCCAAACCAAAAGACTTTGTCAGGAAATAAAAATTTAGTACCATCATTACTATGGTCCATAGGAATTTATGTGCAACATCACACCTCAAGATGACCACCTGCAAGTTCGCAACATAACCTGATGCAACGATATACTTCAGTCCTAATTTTAGCTAATATATTGGGGATGATAGTGGCAACTGTTACGATGATTTCCTCTTTCAAATTAGCCGAATCAGGAGATATAGAAGTGTGTACCCTGTCTTTCACATGTCCCAAAAAGAAAAGGTCTGCTGGTGTAATACGCGGAGAGTTATTTTCACAGTCCACCTGTGTGACATCATAATAAAAGGATGGTTTTTAGGGCACCAAGCAGACAGCCTAGAAACAACTTCAGCCAAAGCAGTCTTACTTTCGATTTGCTTTTGATTTAAAATATTCATTACGGTTTACCATAACCGTGAATGAATAAAAAAAAACAGGCACGTGAGAATAAATTTCAGAGCCACAATAGGACACAATGACAAAAAAAAACATGACTGCTCCCATGGGTTAATTATCCTATCAGAATTCTCATAGGTCAAACCATCAACGAAGAACAGTGAACAAATGCTAAAAACGGAACTGTTAAGAACAAAAAACAATTTTCACAGGGAACAGGCCGATGGCATTTCCAAGTTGAAGAGACAACCCATCAAACCGAACCACCCACATAAGGAAAGAGTCATCAATTGGAAAAGGAATTCCTGCTATTGAATAAAAATCAATAGTTTATTCAAATAGTATTTACACTTACTATAAAAATTTATTTAGAAGCGTTCATATCTACATGAATGTTATTTCTGAGAACTCCATCGGGCTTCTCACTTTTTACACCGAGAACTTAACCTAAATCCATGGGTTAGGACATCGATTGCAACCACCAATTTTTCATTTCATGACTGTCTGAAAAAAATATCAATTTGTGAGCACTCCATCAACTGAACTACGACTTCCTTTACACTCTCAGGGAAACTGAAGAAAGCCCGCTGCGGTCTCTCCACGGGTCCTGGTTGCTTCTATGATCCGGATCGAGACGACGACGACATGATTTGCTACTGTAACTCGACCCTCTGCAACGACAAGGATAACCATGGCTTTCCACCTGATTCCCTTGAATGCTACGACTGCGACGACGAGAAAGAGTGTGGAGATGACGTCGCCCTTTGGAGCACGCAAAAGTGCGTTGGCCCTACGCCAGGGGGCAATCAATGGCACTGTTCTAGCGAATGGCAAGACGGTGAGTTTCTTCCTTGGCAATTGATATCTCCGGCGAAGAATGATTTCTAATACTCTCTTTTTGACACCGAGAAACTATCCTGAATGCACGAGTCAGGTCATCGAACGGAACCACCAATTTTTCCTTTCATGACTGTCTGAAGAAAATATCATTTTGTGAGCACTCCATCAACTGAACTACGACTTCCTTTACACTCTCAGGGAAACTGAAGAAAGCCCGCTGCGGTCTCTCCACGGGTCCTGGTTGCTTCTATGATCCGGATCGAGACGACGACGACATGATTTGCTACTGTAACTCGACCCTCTGCAACGACAAGGATAACCATGGCTTTCCACCTGATTCCCTTGAATGCTACGACTGCGACGACGAGAAAGAGTGTGGACAGGACGTCGCCCTTTGGAGTACGCAAAAGTGTGTTGGCCCTACGCCATCGGGTACACAATGGCACTGTTTCAACAGATGGCTAGACGGTAACGATCTTTTCTGTTTTTCTTAATTTTTTTCTGGTTTTTTCTTGTTTTCTCTTTTTTCGATTAATTTAAAACGTGAAAATACTTCTGAAATTTCATTTACTGGAACTTCCGTCACCTTACCAGGGCTATATTTTTAAGTCTGATTTTCTTTTTTAACGTTATTTCTGAGTGAATCTTAAAAATAAGGTTTCTTTTAGACTTGGTATTACTCACAATTTTTGGAGTTGTTTTAATCCATTTGTGCGATCTAACGTTTGGTAAGGGTTATAATTTTGATCTGCCATTTTTTACTATGTCCCTTCCAATTTTGTGTTTATTCTCCTCTCATTCCACGGTGTCTTTGCTTTCCTATTGTTCTAAGTCTGCTGATTCTGTTCTTAATTACGTCCTCGGTCTTATTTCATAGTTCACGTAATGCGATAATCTTTTTTACGTCAGTTGATGTGTGGACGACCAGAACGGGCGGCATCTTTAAAAGTTACCTCGGTCATGTTTGAGTTCAGTCACCCACCGATGATCATTGGCCAGGGATGGTGCCTCATTCCTTGATGCTCCTAACATCTCCTCATGAATCTCCATGGCAGATGAGCCACGCTTTAGACAATAGCTGATGATGACCCTGAGGTCATCATCTCCTACCTGACAGTTCACAGTGCACTGAGGAAGTGGCCATCGTTGACCCTGACCTCGATTCAATGAAGTGTCAGTAACTTCTTTAAAAAGAGATGGCCTCAGACCGATTTTTATCTGATACATCCTGAGACTTGGGGGGGGGGGAAGAGACGTTCTTTAGTTGAATAATATAGATTTGATTCTCAAAACATTTGGAGTTCCCCACGTATAAGCAGACCTCCTAATTTAAAATCAAAACGCTGCACGATAGAATTATTTATCTTCCAACAATGCTTACTCGTAAATCGGGATGGAAGATTTACAAGCAAGCGCCTGTCACTTCCGAGCATCTTCTATTATTTTCTTAGGAAGCCCTCATGAAGCCGGCTGCCTTCCCTGGACGAAAAAGGAATGTGTCCAGGACGAAGATCGAGATGATGACACGATCTGTTTCTGCCAGACTGACCTCTGCAACGACAAAAACAACAAGGACGACGACGACGATGACGATGATGGCAGCGCGATCGTGAAACCCTCGTTCCTCCTCGCTTTCCTTGTCCTCTGTCCAATACTAGCATATCAACACCTCCTTCTTCACTCCTAAAGGGGGATTTGTTGTTCATG